CCAGGTCAGTAGTTCCAAACCATTTGCCACTCTACAGTAGAAAGGTGACTCTCTACTCCCATTCAGAGTTATAGCTTTGGAAATTCACAGGGGCAGTTCTACCCTATCCTGTGGGGTCTTGGTGAGTCGGCATCACCTGGATGGCAGTGACTCTGGTTTGTCTTTTTCACCTTTTTCACAGCCACCGTAGTCAAAATTGCCAGGTGCTGGTAAAATGACAGGTGGTCTTGTTAGATGCCTTCAAGTATCTATTGCAAGTCATAGCGATGGAATGAAGCACCTCTTAGCCATGGACCAGCCTCACAGTTGTTAGGTTTGTGGCCATTGCCAATCTACTTCGTCGAAGATCTTCCTCTTTTAACTTAATCAAGTTCTTTTCCAGGGACTAGTCTTTCCTGATAACATGTCCAAAGTAAGTGAGATGAAGTCTCACGATCCTCACTTCTAAGAAGCATTCTGGCTCTACTTCTTCCAAGACAGATTTATTTATTCTTCTGGAGTCTGTGGTACTTTCAATATTCTTCACCCACACCCTAATTCAAATATATTGATTCTTCTTCAGTTTTACTTATCCAACCTCACATGCACACGAGACAATTGGAAAAACCATATGGTCAGGCACACCTCAGTTCTCAAAGTGACATCCTTCAACATTTCAACATTTCAAAGAGGTCTTATGTAGCAGATTTACCCATGCAACGTCATTTGATTTCTTGATTGCTGCTTCTATGAGCATTGATTTTTTGATTCAAGCAAGGTGAAATCCTTGACAAATTCAACTTTCCTCCATTTAACATGATGTTACCTATTGCTCCAGCTGTGAGGATTTCTTTACATTAAACTGGTTTTACATTTAATTTCTTTATGTTGGTTTCCCATACATTAAATTGTAATCCATACGGAAGGCTGAAATCCTTAATCTTCATCAGCAAGTGCTTCAAATCCTCCTCATGTTCAGCAAGCAAGGTTGTGTCATCTGCAAATTGAAAGTTGTTAGTAGGCTTTCTTCCAATCCTGATGCCTTGCTCTTCCGATTTTCTTGGATCATGTTCAGTTCTGTTTCTTGGATTGCGTTCTGGAGTTAAAATCCACTGAACAGAAAAGTGAGGCAGGTTGAATGCTCGTAGCCAGGAGTTCACACAGAGAGCAAAGGGAATTGGAGGGTGAATAGACTCAAGAGCACAAAAGAGAAGGAATTTGGACAAAGTCTTCAGTGTTCCATGCAGCGAAGTGACAGTGAGGCGGGCTTTAAGCAGTTCTAGGACAATCTCATGCAGATAGCTCATGTCCCAGTAGATTTCTTTAAACTTTTCTTGTGGAAGGGGTTATATCAAAGATGTTCAGAGATCAAGCCATCAGTTAAAAAGATTTATACACGCATAATTTATAGGCAGATAACACAGTCTTGTGTGCTGAAAGTGAACAGGACTTGAAACACTTGTTAATGAAGATCAAGGATTGCAGCCTTCAGGATGGATTACAACTCAATGTAAAGAAAACCAAAATCCTCATAACTGGACCAATAAGAAATATCATGACAAACTGAGAAAAGATTGAAGTTGTCAAGCAGTAGTCAAAAGATCAAATGACACATTGCATTAGGTAACTGTGCTGCACAAAACCTCTTTAAAGTTTTAGAAAGAAAGTATGTTATTTTAGGACTAAGGTGCATCTGACCCAAGCCATGGTATTTTCAATCGCCTTATGTGCATGTGAGAGTTGGACATTGAATAAAGAAAACTGAAGAAAAATCTATAAATTTAACTATGGTGATGGTGAAGAATATTGAAAGTATCACAGACTGCCAAAAGAACAAATGAATACAGTACAGCCAGATGCTTCTTAGAGGCAAGGATGGTGATACTTTGTCTCACATACTTTGGACATGTTATCAGAAGAGACCAGTCCTTGGAGAAGGACATCATGTTTGGTAAAATGGAAAGAAAACAAAAATGAGGATGCCCCGAATCACTGGATAGACCAAGTGACTGCAATAATGAGCATACACATAACACCATTTCCAGGATGGAGCAAGAATGGGTAGGGTCTATGAATCGGAAAACACTTGATACCACCTAAGAACAGCAAGCTGAAAAGAACGTTAAGAAAAACACCCTTCCTTCTCCTATTACTCAGGGCCAGCAAGTTGCTTTCAATTCATAGCAAGCCTAAAGGACAGAGTGGAACAACCCTGTGGGTTTCCCAGACTGTAACTCTTTACGGGAATAGAAAGCCTCATCTTTCTCCGGCTCATCTGTTATAGACACCCTGGGATCTACCAAATAAGTTTTTTCACTTAGTTGATTTGGTCATTTATTATCTTTTTATTTATTAGAAATGTAGGTGGTGCTTTGGGTTCTGTGTTGGGCTACTCACTACAAGGTCAGTAGTTCAAATCCACCAGTCACTCTGAAGGAAAAGATGAAACAGCCTGCTATTTACAATAGGACTTACAATCTCAAATACCCTCTATAACAGTGATTCTTAACCTTCCTAATGCTGCGACCCTTTAATACAGTTCCTTATGTTGTGGTGACCGACCCACCATAAAATTATTTTCATTCATACTTCATAACTGTAGTTTTGTTACTGTTAGGAATCGGGCAACCCCTGTGAAAGGGTTGTTTGGCCCCCACAGGGGTTGTGACCCACAGGTTGAGAACCGCTACTCTATAAAGTCACTATAAGTTAGAATTGACTCAAAAGTTACATGTTTACCTATTGTGTTGTGGTAGAGATACAAAGAGTTTTAGAGGAGACAAACCCATAAACTCACAAGCATAATATATGTAATTGAGGCATTGATATAATAATTAGGTTTCGGTAGGAAAATTGCATGATTGAGTTTTTTGAAAGATCACATTGACGGAGTTCAATATAATGGATTGGAGGATTTGTAGCTTGCTGTCATCATAGCAGTTCATCTAAAAAGATGTGTATTAATTAATCTAAACCAAATGTATTAATTATCTTGTCCAGCCATTAAAGAAATACCAAAAGCCTATAAATAATTCAAGATATGTTTGTTGACATTTAGGAGTGTTTTCTGGTGGAGTCTGATGGGGTGCCATGCCCTGCCCCAAAGTCTATATTTGGTATTCCCTCGGGACTTCCTTGCTCTGCTCCCCTTGCTGTTCTGTTGCACGCCCTTAATGTATTTCCTCGGTGTGGTAGGGTCAGATTGGGTGCAATTCCCACACTGTGTCTCCAGTGTTGTTCCCCATAGGGCTATGGGTCAGTGAGGGATGTTGTGTCTGGTAGTTCGTCCTCTCTGTGCTTTGGCTGGTCTGAGCAGGGATATTGTCCTCAAGGCTTGGTGGGCCAGAAT